TTTGAATCTTGAATTTCCTTGTAGAGAACAATAATGGCAGAGATGTTTAGGAATTTTTAGGCAGAAAATAATCTGAATTTTTTGGAATTACTTTCTCTTGGAAAGCATTTCTAAACGTGAAATGTTTGCTCTGGTTTGAAGATCTTCTTGAATTATGGGTAGTTACTGAATATAAGCTGCCTTTCCCTGGACACCTGCAGAAAACACCAAGCAATCATTTCAAGTTATTTCCAGAATGAGAATGTTTGTCTGCTAAAAAGGAGATCGAAGTAGATTGAATGGTTGATGTATCATAAAATATGCCAATGCCTGTCAACAGGCAGCTTGCAGTGTAACAGAGATTAGGTTATTTGGTTGATCACAATTCTTTACCAAGGTCCAAAGATCTGAAATTCCCTTCTTGTTACAAGCACTTCTGGCAAAGACACACTCTTGTAGCACTATTTATGTAAGCATATTGTTATGTAGGAGGTGGCCTCAACTTTAAGCCTGGTGGTTTCTAGAGGTGAGAGAGAGAGAGAGAGAGAGGGAGAGAGAGATTTTATTTCAAGAGGGTAGCATGTGACCGTAGTTAAACTGATAATCCTGTGGCCCTCTATTAACCCACCCATCCCACCCTAGGGGAGGACATCCATCACACAGCAATCTCGTGTGTGGGAAATTAACGTCTCCTATCCCAACCCTGCAGGAGACGGGACCTCTCCCTATCTGAGAAGACTAAAATATCTAACCATTTCTTGATGTCATAGAAAGGTAGCAAATTCTTCTCAATTATTTTGAGACCCTGAGTGTTGGTCCGGCTGGGGCTCGAACCCTCGAGCTCCCGCACAACAGTCCAGCGCTCTATCCATTGAGCTAACCGGGATGCGGTCACTTCGCCATACATTGAACTATTAATAAATTGTCAATATACAAGGTAAAAAGGCAAATAAATAAATTTGAAATTTGAGTCTGGATTGGCGATGTTAAAACCAAAGTAATAAATGTTATTTTACTAGCAATTTTGATAAGTATGAATTGATGATATGTAATGCCAGTAAGTACTAACAAGTGTTAACTAAATATTTATTATGCCCATCATTTTCAACAGTTGGAGGAAGCCTCTGAGATGTCTGTCAAGATTGGTCAAAATTCCATTAGCAAGAATCTCAAGACTTTTGCTCTTCAGAATTTTGGCATGATCTTTGGATTTGCAATCATGTTTATTTTGGCTCTGTATGGAGGGGAGATTTCATTGGAATAAGATATTTATCATGCAATCAATTGTTTTTTTTTTTTTGTGAGCCTGTTGTTTTTTTCTTCTTTTTTTAAAGTATTGCCAAATATTGATATTGACTTACAAAATCTTACGGGGGATAACTTGTGGTGCAGAACGTGGAATTGTTAGGTTATTTAAGTTTCAAGAGTTTCATATTGAAAATACTAGCAGAATCAGGTTTGTTAAAACCTGGGTTATGATGACTGACGGGAAAAAAGTATCTGTTATTTTGAAGTTCAAATTTATCCCTGTTTCGTTTTCAGAGGTTTGTCAATTTGTGCTTGTACATAAAAACACGAGTAGCTGACCGATGAAGAATATAAAATATTAAAAAATGAGAATTGAACCGGGATAAAATTAACAAAATTAATGGTAAACACCACAGCGTACAATATCGAGTTATGGATGCGCGCGGGAGGTTGCTAAGCACGAAAGAAGCGTAAGAGTCGCGCGAGGCAATAGCCGAAAGTTATTTTAGCTTCTTAATACATTGTAGCTAAAGAGTTCCCTTTTATTTAACAAATCTTACGTGACCAGAAAAAACAAGCGCGCGCGGAAAAATAGTCTTTGCATTTGCTCACGTAAGCAGCGTACACCCATGGGCAAATGGGGGACGCTGAATTGACCAATCAGAGCGCGCGCTTTACTTTGGTTATGTTATATTTGAATTTCAAGGTGTGTTGAGAATTATTGGAGACATGATGTGACGTTTCCAGCGGGCAGAATTAAAGCAAAGGTCGTAAGTAATCGGAATTGTATCGGCCTTGTCCATTTTGCCATGGATGGCCTTTCCATTACATCGTTCAGTGATTGGTTCAGGAAAAACTTACGCTCCTCACCAGACCAATCAGGTAACAGTAAAATAACTTATTTTTCTTCACAACGGTCAGACGTCGTGCATTCGCAGTTTGATCAATTTCAGCCAATGCACGCTCAGGAAACATGGGTAATAACCAGTGTCTCGTAAAATTAAAGAAAAACATTGAAATTTTCCTAGAAATGTATGGAAGGAAATGAAGTAGTGAAAAGAAAAAGCTATGCTTTTTTATTCGAACACAAAGGTTATTACAGAAAAATTATGTTGATTTGCTATTTCGTTTCGAGAAAGAGAAAGTTAAACTTTTTACGACCCCCTTTTTTCTTGGCTTGTGTGGTTGTTTTTAACTACAGTAAGCCAACTTGTCGCTTTCAACCTTAAAGTCGAGCCGCCATTTTGACTGGCTATTAGCCTTTTCAAGATTCGTACAAGCGCATACTTTTGACCGTTGTTTCGTTCTACCGTGTTAGACGCAGTAGACGTGCGAAAAGCGCTTTTTGTGGGAGAAAGATGTGTTTTAGAAAGATGTGTTTTAGTTTTAGTGTTTTAGTTTCCACTATAACTTACGAGAAGAAACTTGAACCAGCTATTCCACTATTTGAAGGCCTTCTAGCTAACAATTATCTTTTTTAGCTGTAATGGCCTATCACTAATTTAGAAGTAATTATTTTATCGCACAAAAAAATTGTTTTAGAAGGATACGGTAGCCTTGAGCAAATTGACATTTGGTTCTACATGTTAAAAAAAATATTAATCAGTGTTTTTAGCTGGCCATAAGTGTTCTTTGCTTTTTGCAGATATGAAAATTTGTTATTATATTTTAAATATTATAGAAGTGATTTTAATCCTTAAGAATGGGTGTAAAAAATATTTTACACGTTTCTTACGCCTAATGTGATGAAGGAAAAATTTTATATACCTTCGCGCTTTTTTTTGATTTTTTTACCTCGATATGTGATTCTCAACTGTATTTGATCTTATTAATCTAATTGATTTGGGATATCGCTTTTTTGAAATAAGGATTATATTATTGAAGGAAAACCTCCTCATATGAAGTATATTGATATAAGTGACCAGCGATCTTCGTTCTTCACATTTCTTAAAATTCAAATCGTTTACTTGCACATTTAACACCATTCATGATGCTGTAAGGATTCTCTCAAAAATAGGGAGAAATGTTTCTAATCAGGAAATACCTGCAGTTACAGATTGAAGCTAAAGGAAAAGAAGATGATTCCTTTTCTTTTAAAGGAGCGCCTGACTTCAGGCCGCGCAAATCACGGTTCATCCATTGCTTACATACAAATAATTCTTGAAAAATTGCGAGGGGTAGTCAGGTACCAGGGGAAGGGGTTAGGGGAGTTATTTGCTCTCGACATACTTGCTCACTAACAAACCTTTTTAAACTGCAAACCTACATTTTACATCTCAGTGTTAAGTGAATTTGTTAACCCTAACCCTGGACAAGTTTATTTATTTATCACTGTACACTTACGGGGCTAAGCTGGACTGCGTGGCTGGCTTACAAAAGAGAGTGAAGACTTAAGATATTTCGATCGAGTAAGAGGAATACTTGAAAACCACAGTCGCGTTCCACGCTCCTTGTAAGCCTTCCACGCAAGGTAAAATCTTAGGGTTTTTGCTGATTTTTTTCTGAAAATTTCCAAAAAGTAATTTTTTCGTGTAATAAATTGAAGTTTTGATCAAATATTGTGACATTTTACTACTTGTGCTGGTGGGTCGTTAGACAATTTGGCAAGAACCATTGCAAGGGCCTCTAATCCTCTTTTCCCCCTCTCGCTCCAGGGGACGACGCTAAGAGAGACCCTGGTAACAAGCTAGTAGGTGGGTGCATGGCGAACGATGAAAGGTGCAGACGGCAAACATTGAAATCTCATTGAGAAAGATGTTTTTTGTCTTTTCACGAGGGTAGGACAAAGAAAAGATTCTGAGTCACCAGGAATACAACCCCACGGAAAGCGGGACCGCTCAAATAAAACTGAAAATAATCTTTCAAGTAAAATTCAATCCATGTCAACTTTTATCTCCGAATCATGTGTTCTGATTGGCTACCCGCTTGGGATTGCCCGCATTCAACCCGCACATGGAAAAAATTGAATTAGAGCTACGTTCGTAATTCTTGGACAATTTCGGCGATGGAAGCGCCAAAGTGGCAGAAGATAGTCAAAGCAATAAAAACAGAAATGACTCCCGTGAGTTTGTTGTGCTACAAACACAGTTGGCTGTCTTTCCTGGCTCACGAAGTAAACAAGTCATTCTTAATTCTTAATGAAATTAAAACGAAATCTTTTTGCAAGATGATAAATCCTTTATTAAACAAGTTTGTTCGGTCAAGATGGCTTGATATTAGCCTCGTTCTTTTTTCGCATTTTCATGGACCGAGACGAACTCAAAGTTTATAAAAATGCAAAAAAAAAAAGAACGCAGCCATGACGAGCTTTGCTCAAGAAAAAAAATTCTCAGCAGGCATCGTAAACTGATGCCGAGGTTTGGGGAAGAAGGTGTTGGGTGAAAGCAACCATCCATCGTCCACCACGAAAAACATCCCCGCCGGCATCAACAGACGCTTATCATTCCTCTCATCCGACAAAACCTCCTTCGACCAAGCCGCTCCCGCCTACCAGAAAGCATTAAACACCAGTGGTTACAGCTACACACTCCACTACGAACCAACGCACACACAAAGTCGCAAGAACCGCCAACGCAACAACATCCTCTGGTACAACCCGCCTTTCACCAAGAACACCAGCACTAACATCGGACATAAATTCCTCGCGCTGATTGACAAACACTTCCCCAAAGATCATAAGCTCCGCAGAATTTTCAACAGAAACACAATCAAAATTAGTTACAGCTGCATGGACAATACAAAACAAATCATCGACAACCACAACAAAAGAATCCTCACCTCCCACGTAAAGACTAACGCCACCGCCACAACCGACACCTCTACCGCAAACAACAACAAGAAATGCAACTGCCGACAGAAAAACTCATGCCCTCTAGACGGAAACTGCCTCCAACAATCTGTCATATACCAAGCTACCATTACACGTAAAGACAACAGCACGACAGACACATACATCGGGCTCACTGCAAACGACTTTAAGTCGCGCTACAACAACCACACCTCATCATTCCGACACGCAAAACACCGCAACTCCACCGAACTCAGCAAACACATCTGGACACTTAAAGACAACAACATCAATTATTCCATCACCTGGCGCATCCTATCTTCCCACCTGCCCTACAACAGCTCAAGCAAACGATGCAACCTATGCCTTAAAGAGAAATTCCTAATCATCTGCCACCCAGACCTATCAACACTCAACAAGCGTAACGAACTCGTCTCTTCCTGCCGACACAGAAACAAAGCACTCCTACGCAACAGCTGACTTGACACTTTTCACACTGCATAAACCATGTTAATTAGCAATTAGTGTAATATATAAGCGATGGTATCGCATTATTCTGCCATTAAAATCCCCTGATGAGTGGGCAACCACGAAACAGGTCTGTAGGGATGTATCTGTAGTTGTTTTTTTCCGACTACCACACATTATANGCTAACAAGCCAACTGGGAGCAGGCCGTTAAGTTGATTCGTAATAAACCCGTGAAAGTGATAAATCAGATACAATGAAATATATGAAGTTCATATATTTTGAACTGCGGTATTAGATACGTATGATGCACGATCCTCGCAGTAGATAGCGCTATTTAAGCTACAGCGAAAATCAGACCTGAAAAAAAATCGGGCCTGTGCGGGATTCGAATCACTGACCGCTGCGATACTAGTGCAGCGCTCTACTAATTGAGCTAACAAGCCAACTGGGAGCAGGCCGTTAAGTTGAATCGTAATAAACCCGTGAAAGTGATAAATCAGGTACAATGAAATATATGAAGTTCATATATTTACGAATCAACTTAACGGCCTGCTCCCAGTTGGCTTGTTCGCTCAATTGGTAGAGCGCTGCACTAGTATCGCAGCGGTCAGTGGTTCGAATCCCGTACAGGCCTGATTTTTTTCAGGTCTGATTTTCGCTATTGCTTAAATAGCGCTATCTACTGCGAGGATCGTGCATCATACGTGTCTAATACCGCAGTTCAAAATATATGAACTTCATATATTTCATTGTATCTGATTAGTATATTACTTAAACTAGTTTTGTGTGAGTTGTTGAATTGTCTAACGTTCCCGAGAGACCCTGCGGCAAACTCTATTGGGTACATCCGGGATAGTCTTATTACAGCTTTATCGTTGGAGAAGACACCACATTTACTGAGAGGAAAAAAAACCTTCTACTATAGGAGTTTTAACCCTGCATTTTATGCAAAATGGTTAGAGGAGGTACATTAGGAGACGACATTGGGTAGGTTTTGCCCATTATTTTGTTTAGGAAACACCAATGCTCTGGATGGAAGTTCTAAGTTTGGCGTGCATGCAGAAGCTTATCCACCACGTTGGATCTCGCTATTTTAAGCTGTAATCTCAGATATTGTTTTCTTTTCCTTAAAGGAAACTCTTCGTCGGTGGGTTATCACACGAGACGACTCAAGGTATGCCTTAATCATAGCTATCAGGGATGCAGCCGCTAAGCCTAAATTTTACCGACTCCCGCCAAAATTTTTGATCTTCTACATTTTATTTTGTAAACCACGTTGAACTTCAATGAAGGAGTTATTTGCACTTTTCTAATTATGTACCCAATACTATTTCTTACGCAGAATCACTGAAGAATTATTTTTCGTCGTTTGGCGAAGTGACAGATGTTGTTGTAATGAAAGACACAGTGACAAAAAAACCAAGGTACTGTCGTAAAGTTCCCATTGTAGCCTCCATGTGTTGGTGTGGTTTTCTTTAAATACATTCTAACTCCTCTTGGGAGTGAAAGTATCTTCTTTTCACTAGTAGAAAGAAAAACGTTCTCAAATTCATGTCACCGTCATTATCCTGTTTGAAAGGCAAGCTTTTTTTCACTTGTCCAGATGTATTTTTTAATGTTTTTTTTAGCGATCAAAACAGTGAAAAATAAGTATCAATCGCTTTATCAGTTTGTTTTAAATCATTTTGGAAATTGCAATGAATGACAGAGTATAAAAATCCTGTCATAGATTTGTGTGGTTTGGATTAAACAACATACCCTGTTTTTAATTGTTATGCTACCTATTTGTTCTTTGTTGATCCATCCACATACTTGAATGGTATAAATTCTCAAATTAGTTCTTAACCTTAGAAAAATCACACCCTTGCACCATACCCCCTGCCCCCTTGCCTGTACTGAATTATTAATCATTTTTGCTTTACTCTGTTAAGTGAGTAATGCCAGTCTTAGATTTACACATACCATATTTTTTAAAATTTGCAAAAGCATTAGACTTGACAAAATTAACTACTAGACCAATCCTATTGTACTGTGCTACTACAGTGTATATTACTCCTAGACAAGCTCCATTTTTTACTACTTAGTTTTGTTTTGTGGGCTTGCTGATCTTATATTACAAAAGCAATTGTCTTTGGGGCTAATACAAGCAAAAGTATCCTAATGAGTGTTTTATGTTGTTAATTGAATTTGAAGTAAGTCCTTAAGGTGGTAAAAATTGAGTAATCACATTGTATTTGTAGTGGTGGTATTACATATCGAACATTGTGTTTTCTCTCAAAAAGGGGCTTTGGATTTGTGACATTTCAAGATCCAAATTCAGTACAGAAGGTTCTCGGTCATCCGGTACCACATGTTGTGGACAAGAAAACGGTAATTTTTTGTTGTTTGCAAACTGAGATTTTTATGTAGAGTGATATCGGATGACCAGGAGTTGATACAAGATTTTTCTCTCAGTATACATGTACGTATGTTGGTAAGGCCTCTTATGAGGAAGGAGAGTGAGCCAGAGAGAGATGTTATCAACAATGACGGGAAGACTGTGCTTGAGGGTTTATTTTTTTTAAAACTGTTCATATTCCTTCGTAAGATTATTAAGTGAACTGCTTTGAAATTACACAATGGTGCTGTATAGCATAAATTTATTGTCTGTTGGGTAGCGAGACTGGCTTGTTCAGAAAATGGACAGGTTTGGATGTTGTTTGTGAAAAATGAAGTAGAATAATTTGAAAGCATTTACAATTTGTCCCAAAACTCTGTAGTATACATCTTCATGTTTTAAATTTTTTTTTCCAGTTTGCAATTGAAGGTATCACCTTATTTTAACAGTTATTGTTTTTATTATCAGATCGATCCTAAGCAAGCAGTACCTCGTGGTCCCGGGCAGGCAGGATCAGTCTCAGTCCAGCCAAGTGTAGGTTAAATTTAATTTCGTAGATAAAGGTTTCAATCTGTTTTAGTCTGGTTCATAATTAACTTGTCACTTAACTAATGCTTGATGTTCCTTGAAGGAAGATGAACAATGTAACTTACTAAAAATAAGTCAGTTACAGAAAAAACAAACATACCTGTTGCAGCCACCAGAATTGCAATTAAAACAAATTGGCAAGAGCAAAAAACTTGTGATTTTTTTTTTTTTTTGGTCAGTTGATTGAGGCCTGGTTTTCTTATGATTTTCCCATTTCCTCTGCTTTATGACACAATTGTAATAGTCCAAGTGATAACGTGGAAACCAGATTTAACATTACTTGGAATATCCAACAAAAGACTATCAATTACACTCATAATATTGAGTTACTTTGTTGCAATAATTAAGAACCCTTTGAAAACTTACTTTTCCTGTCAATACTTCTCCGACAAAAATTTATTTTTCTTGTAATAAATATTTCAATAACTTAGTTCAAATCATTTTTGTGTTACCACTTTATCTAGGGCCCGTCATAGAGCCATAATTTTTTCCCCTTGATCTCAATTTTAAAGATTCTCTGTACATCTGAGATCTTAAATTCTCATGAATGTGTCAGTAATAATTATTGTTTACCCTCAGAGAGACAATAATGAAATGAAGATTTTTGTTGGAGGAATTGCCAATGGAACCACAGAAGATGACCTAAGCAACTATTTTTCTGCTTATGGCAAGGTAAATGAATACTCGTGAAATTAACCTTTTAATTTTTATGAGTGAAAAAGACAATGTCTCTTTATGACATCAAGAACTATTTTCTTGTTGGTTCTCTCAAAGCAGATTCAATTGTCATGAGATTAACTTCCTCTGAATTGTTTTCACTTTTTAAACCCTTAGAGTAACTAGCAGCCAATTTCTTTGTCAAGTGTCCTTGCTGAGTCCAACATTTAAGTCCTGAGAGTGAATGAGGTGATTGCCAGTTAAAGAGGCTCTCCTCATTGTTACCACGGGAAATGTGAAGAGAACAGTATGGAAATTGTGTATTCTGATGTTGGGGCATAGTGGTTTAAATTAGATAGTAGGGCAGAGAGAATATAAAACTTTCCTTCCTTTGCCCCAACTGCTTGTACCAACACTAAACCAGAGTGAGCTGAAAGGAGTTTTCCAAGGGATAATGTGCTAAAGGCAAAAAAAAATTAAAAGTATATTGCCTTGATAAGTGTTGCTCTGTCACAAGTCTTTGGTGTTCAGGGTGTCAAACAAGGCAAAAAGCAAAATACCTATTGAATACAGTTCTCAGGTTTGTCAAAACTGCTATTTCCTACAGTACCTGGTTGTGGATTCAAGGGTACAGATTTATAAACCCAGTTATTTCTTAAATTCAGTGTTGCAGCTCCTCTTAACTAGCAGTTGTTAACTGTAATGATAACTTTGATCAACCCATTGACTCCTAAGAGTGACAGAAATCTAATTTCTCCTTACATTATCATCCCTGAATCACACATGAAGGGCATGAGAAGAAAGTAAATGATCAAATACTAAAGAAGCTCTTGAATGTTCAAGAAATTCTCCTTATCAGCAACTTAGGAAATGTGTGGAAAACAGAATGCAGGATATGCATTATGGCATCCGGTCCTCATCACCAACAATAATCCCTTTCAGGAACTTCTGTTTGGATGAACAGAATACACAATCCAATGAAGAGTTCAGTTCATAATACTCTGATGGAATCAACTTCAGTATTGCCAATCTTTTGTAGAAGGCTTACTTTTGAGAGAAGTTTTGAAGTATAATTGCTAAATCTTCATTGCTATTTCTTTCAAGGTAATACATGTAAACTTGATGTATGAACACAATCAGCCAGATGGAACAAAAAGGATGAGAGGTAATTTTTTGGTCAAATTTTGCTCTCTACCCTATATCTCAGATTAATAAAGAAAATAATGCGGGAATGTGCTGGCTCCTTTGTCATAATCCAGTGCTTTTTTCAATCCTGGTATATCCAGAAAGACAAATTTAACTGCTTATGTCTATACCCAGAACAATGAACACTACTGTCTGGACTGATGGTTTGTACATTTTGAACTTACATACATCCAAAATGTCATTTTGTTCCATATTTTATTTGCACTGACATTTGATATGTATCATGAGAAATGAAACTGTTTCAATTGATGCTTTTACCATGCCAATACACAGATTGCAAACTCATTGCTTCGTGCACTGACCCAAAAAGCATTGTAAACTTGTGCTTGCTATTCTACTGGCATGAGTCGTCACATTCCCCCATTATTTGAACAAAAAAGACTGTGGTTCTTCAACTATATTTGTGTGTGTTGAACTTCTGGATTTGTTCCGGCAGTATCTTTCTTATTTAATTGACTGCCTGTAACTGAGACTTCTCAAGTACCAAAGTTATAATTTTACATACTCTGTACCTCCTAGAGTACTTGAGCTCAATTGGCATCACTCATGTATTTGTTGCAATGCTTAAGGGTGTGCTGGAATGTTTTGAAGGGACTTATGGGAAACTAAAGTTACAATAAGGTTGCTGCAGCACTGTTTAAATTAGCACATTTGGAGTGGGTTTTCTTCATATACTAATGTTATTTATTTAATTATTTCTACTTTAGGTACAACTATGTATTTCAATCTATATTTACTTGTTAGTGCTGTATTTAGATTTGTTAAGTGGTGTATTGTAACAAGTGTGTGTTTGACAAGCAGGGTCAGATACCACAAGAGTTAAATTTATTTCATTATTCTATACTTTTACAAATGAATAAATTCCTATTTTATTGATTCTTATTATAGATGCAGGTTTGAAATGAAACCTATCATAAGAGTTTTACTCTAGACTACAATAATTAAGGAAATAAAATTTGCTAGTCACTGTTCTTTTTACTCTAAAGGGAGAATTACTTTTATTACTCAGACTATTTAAACTTGGATTTGAGATAAATTTTTATACGATCATTTATAAATTTGGCATAATGAAATAAAATAGTTTAATTATTGATAGGTAAAACTATTATATTGAAGTTTACAGTACTTAAATAAAACTGGGAAAATCTAGTGTTATCGTGACCCTGTACCAGATTGTAAACTATGTTCATCCTCTAGTTTGTGTGAGAGTCAATTCACTTGAGCAACCTGTGATTAGTATTTGCGTGTATATGTTGCTGTCTCTGTTGTGGGTGTGATGTTTGATGTTAAAGTTGCCATAGTTTTCATGATGGAGGTTCCTTCACAGCCAGTGTTTATCAGCTCAACACAACATCTTTGAAAGACTTGCAGCAGCTACACAGAGCTATTTACATCCCAAGTGGTCTGCAGCTGTACATACAGTGTATTGGTCACTGTCAGTACATTCTGCTGCATGATCAGGAGAATTTTGATTACTGGCTGTGTTTTGTTACATGCATGTTTGTTTTGTTTTGCTGTGTGAAGTTGTCACTGTCTGTACTATTCAGGAATTAACTTATTTTATGATATTATATTATACTATATTAGGCTTTGGTTTTGTAACGTTTGATTCAAGCCTACCAGTTGAGAAGACCGCCAATATTCATTATCACCAAATCAATGGAAAAACGGTGTAGTTATTGTTTAGTTACTTAAATATATATATAATGTGTTTTGTATAAGGGAGAAGGGGGGCTATTGTCTTCTTTTAAATACTCCATGGTCAAGTTTAGTAAGCAGTGATTGAGTATTGGAAATGGTTATAAGAAAGATTTAAGATTTGTTGGTTGTGAGTTCTTCTGCAACTCCATGTGCATCTTTAGGGAAAAGGATGTTCCTAAGAATTTTGATGTAAACAAATTTCATGATCACTGATATTGGTTGTTCACAGTTCCTTGCCTATTATGCTTAGTTTAAACTTCACTTATGGCTGCTTGTCTACAATAGCCATAGATCATTCTTGCATTCACTCTCATTTGAACCCTCCTCAATAGAAATGACCACCAAAGCATGTCTTTACTGCCCTACAAAGCTCTCAACAAGGGCTCGTGGTTTAATAAATCACTGAGTTATGAACATGTGATACATGTTCACGTTTCCTTGCCTCTGGATATACATGTGAGAAAGAACAATAGTTATTGTTACTGAATGAGGTTGTTTTATGGGGGAAAGCTATCCATTCCTCTACACAGCACAATGTATGGTTGAACTGGTGGTTCTTCCATAGAGAATTATTTCGTGCTGTGGCCTTTCCTGAAAAGTTGCTGTTAGAGACAACTTCCGAATATTATTAACAGAGAACTGCTGCCAAATGTTGCCGCAAAGCTGTGCTGAGAAGAGATAGGTTTTTGTGAACAAGTCTCCATTTGCAATTTTCACAAATTCTTTACTTTTTGTACTTTTCAGTTTTATCAATGGTCTTTGTGAATGAGACTTGATGTTCAACTGCAATAAGTCTTTAAATTAATAATTATTTCTAAGTGTGTCAAGGTAATCTTGCTAGTTCAATTGGAATCTAACATTCCTATTTGGTTACTCACCTGCATTACATGTAAAACTACTTGACTTAAAAGGTACATTAAGAAATCATGTCAGTGTGATGAAATTCTGGCAGGACAAAGTCAAATAAATAGATTTTTTATGCTAGCAAGTTAGGTGCACGACACTTCAACACTTGTTTAACACTTCTATGCTTATGTTTACAAGTATTTTCACTCTGTGTTCCCCGTTTGGGTATTATGAATATTTTCCACAGTTTACTTAGGCAATAATCTACTATGATTTTGCTACACTGAGGCAAAGCTACTGTATCCCATAAACGCATTTTTTAAACTTTTTTTTCATTAAGCTTTATCCACAGGACAATCTAGTTCAACCTAAATAATCTAGAGATGACTTTGATTTAATTTTTTTCCAGCTTCAATAATTTTTGGAAGGAAACTTGTTTCTGAGTACTGCAATGTTTATGTAAATTTTGAATTACTTATGAGTTATTAATTTTTTTTTACCACTGAGTCTGTTTCCTTCTCATCTCTTCTTTCTCTCCAACTATTTTCTAGTTATGGGGAAATAGTCACAATAGGTTTGGTTCAGCATCATACACTCTGTGTCATGTTTGACTAAATAAATAACTTGTTGGATATATCTCTAAACTCATTTGTCTTGCATACTGTTCTTTTGAAATAAGATTGTGTGATCCAAAGACACATCTTTCTCTCAGTTACCTCACTTGAGTGGTTGTGACTGTATTCAAAAATTTTTTTTGCTATTGTTTCTGAGATGTGTACAAAAATGTGTCAGCAGGAGCAGTCTACTAAAAGGTTGTTCAGAATCTTAGTCAAAAAATTTATGAAAGATAATTAAGAAGAAATCTTGTTCCATTTGGATTTATCAGGCTTAAAAAGTCTACAGTTATATTACACCTTTCAAGGCTGATGTTCTGGGTCATGATCATCTTTTTGTAGTTATTCTTAATGTGTATTGAATGTAGTTACTCTTCATGTGCACTACTACTTGCAGTGCTTTCTTTGTCTCTTTGTATTCTTTCACTTATTGATGAAACATGATGCTGACAAAAGTAACTATGCCTGAGGTCCTGCATGATTCTTGCAGACTTAACACCCAACTAAGTTGATGCACAAGTTTTACTTGTTTTTTACCTCATTTTGAAGCTATCATGGAAGTTCCTGGCTGCTTCCTTGAATTAGAAACTTCATCTTTTACTTGTACACACTTAAACTGAAGGTTTGGGTTAGATAGTTACACAACTCTTAGTTTTGGCATTTGGGTCTTGAATGATAATTTCGGATACTGGGTATTGATTAGAAGAAACTAAAATGTAATTCTTGTAACGTTTTTACAGTAATCAGGTCATGTAGCCACATAATATTTCCTTGGCTAAATTACAAATAGCAGTTTTAGTGATAGTACAAAAGTGTAATTTTGGAAAAATTTTTTGTAGTGCCACTGCTGTTACTTGGATCTCTTGAAAACAATAAAACAATCACATTGGAAATATAGAATTCCAGGTAAATTCAATTGGATCTCAGGCCAAAATGACAACAAATATTTGACTTAGTTCACTTTTTAATTCCTTTAATTGGATTGGCCCGTTTTGTTCAGCTGACCCTGGTAACAGTATTTGGCACACTGGCCAGTCAGTACAACCAACTGTAATTTTCCAAGTCCATAACTTGTTATAATTTTGTTGTTACTTGTTCATTTCAGGTGGAGGTGAAGAGGGCAGAAAAGCGTGATTCCAAGGCAATGGGACCCATGCAGGGTATGGCTGGCTATCAACAGCAGCATGGGGGCCATCCTGGATATGGTGCAGCTGCATATGCACAAACAGGTACCATAGTTTATAAGTGTCAACTATGATGATGACTTCTGCTAAGGTTGTCAAAAATGCCAGTCACAACTATTTTCAACAGTCCTTTGGACTCCTCTCACCTGAACAGTCACAATACACCGTTAAATGAATATTTTTTTTTGTTCTAAGTTTTTACTGGTAGAACTATCAATATACACAAGTGTATTTGTGAAAGCAAGGCTCTCCACAATGAAATAATTTTCAAACCAGATTGGCAGAGTAACAATTATTATTCTCATCTGTTTCTTTTGTTTCTTGTTTTTTATTTTTCTTCACTTCAGTGTTAATAAAATAAAAGTTTCAGTACTCAATTATACTTTATTGTGAGACAGACTAGGAATAGAGTAAGATAAATTTGCAGTTAGTAGGGGTTATTATGGCCTTGCAGCTACAGCTTTGATAAGTTCAAAGTTACTCTGAGGTATAAAAACTCTGTCAAGTACATGTTGTTACAAGTGTTTGTGTTGGGTGTCATTTTTTCAGGTCCATATGGCATGCAACATCCAATTGGGATGGGGCGTGGTTTTCCTCCCTATGGTGCCATGGGTCCCGGTGCAGGGGCTGCTGCCTCTGGTTTTGCTGCAGCACCAGGCCCATCTCCTGCATATGGATATGGTAAGTCCCAACAGTTCATCAGCCATCCTAGAATTTTAGTAATATAGTAATAGTAATATAGTTTATATCTGACCACTTGCAGCCCAGAGGCTGAATTACGGGTGCAGTGTAAGGTTGAGAACAGACGTCAGCATATCAGGTGCCTCTGGCAGCTGCTTCAGTCTATCGATCTCACCTTCCCACCCATCCCACCCCAGG